ACAGACTTAGTAAATTATTTAACAGTGTTGTGGGGATTAGTTATTAAGGAGAGTGACGGCATTTGGGAAAAGCTGTCCTTGTGTCTAGTTGTTCTGGTGTGCAGTGCCCTATAGCATCGTTTTGAGGGGAGAAGTTGAAACAATTTATGTCCAGGATGTCAGGGGTCTGTAGATATTTTCACCACCCTCTTTTTGACTCGTGCAGTATACAGATCCTCAATGGAAGGCAGGTTATTTTTTTTGCAGCTCTAATTATCCGTTGAAGTCTCTGTCTGTCTTGTTGGGTTGCAAAGCCAAAGCAGACTGTTGTGGAGGTGCAGATGACAGACTCAATAATTCCTCTGAATTGAAGAGAATCAGCAGCTCTTCGTGCGAAATGGAAAAAAACTATTCTGTACACTTAGAAAATAAGAATAACTTTCAGGGATAAAACTTTCAGGGCCACAGCTCAGTGATTCGTCTGATTCAGTATAATCTCTAATACTCCCAGCTGAAATGGGGATCTGAATTGAGAGGGAGTTTCTATGTTTGCATAGAAAAAGGACTCTCTTTAAAAATAACCAGTAAGAAGCATTGATTGCATTTTGCTTGCAGAGTCTATTTTGTCGCTGGCTTCTTGAATCAAAATAAACTTTCCTCCCCTGCTCTTAAAAGGATGGCAATGCCAGCAATGTGGGAAGCCCATTTGCCAAGGATTTCTTACCCAAGATGGAAGACGGTACCCTTAAAGCTGGAATAGGGGCAGCCGATGGGACCCACGCTTTGGAAATCAACAAGAAAATCTCCTTCTGGAGAAACGCTCATAAACGCATCAGGTGACAAGATGCATGCAAATTCAGTTGTAGGGTTCGTTGCCAACTATCCATAATGTTGTCTATGGAGATTCTCAATCATCCAGGTCATGGTTGCCCCCAAGGTGCTTTTATTTTCAAGAGGCAACTAGACTTTCTGGTTTTTCTTTGAAGGTGTTTCGCTTCTCATCCAAGAAGCTTCTTCAGCTCTGACTGCAAGGAATATAAATCCTTCCATTCATCACCATCTAGTCAGAGCTGAAGAAACTTCTTGGATGAGAGTAGAGTAGAGTATACAATACAATAGCAGAGTTGGAAGGGACCTTGGAGGTCTTCTAGTCCAAACCCCTGTCTAGGCAGGAAACCCTATACCATTTCAGACAAATGGCTATCCAATCTCTTCTTAAAAACTTCCAGTGTTGGGGCATTCACAACTTCTGGAGGCAAGCTGTTCCACTGATTAATTGTTCTAACTGTTAGGACATTTGGTATCCTTCTGCGGCGGTTGCGGGAGGCGGGGGTGGGAGGCACAGTTTTTCAGTGGTTCGCCTCCTACCTCTCGGACAGGTCGCAGTCGGTGTTGGTCAGAGGGCGGAGATCGACCCCTACGCCCCTCAATTATGGGGTGCCGCAGGGTTCGGTCCTGTCTCCCCTCCTATTCAATATCTACATGAAGCTGCTGGGTGAGATCATACGTCGGCATGGGATAAAATACCACCAATACGTGGACGATACACAGCTGTATCTGTTCGTCCCGTGCCAACTCAGTGAAGCGGTTGAAGTGATGTGCGAGTGCCTGGAGGCTGTCAGGGTTTGGATGGGAACGAACAAGCTTGCTCTCAATCCTGACAAGACTGAGTGGCTATTGATGCTCCCTCCCAAAGGTTGGCCACTTACTCCATCTCTCAGGCTGGGGGGTGAAATTATACGCCCCTNGCAGATGGAACTCGGAGGAGGCCTAGTCTATGGGATCTAATAGGTCGAGTGGAGGTGATTGGCAGTAGGCGGTCTCTCAAGAACAACTCCCTTATTTCAGTCTCTCCTGCACTGATTACTTCCCTCACCCAATTACCATGCCCCCTTCCCCAGGCAGCTGAAAAGCAAGCAGCAAAACAGAGGCTGACAGAGGTTTTCTGTAAAAGCCCCTTCCCTCTATGGTAAAACTCACTTAAAATTGACTGATAGTTGAACGTCATAGATCCTGGGCAATTATTGTACTTGATAGCTGAGGAGGGATTGCCGTGTTATTAGACAGTCCACTCCACGGGGCGAGTTAAGGGTAGCACAGTTTAATCTACCTAAAATCAGGTAGACTAAAATGTTCTACCGCTAACTTACCCCGATTTTGAGGTAATTTTATCTTTGGGCTTTTTAGAAATTAACAAATGAACAAGTGATTTGCTGTGACATTTAATATTCTTCTTTTGAAACAAGGCTTTATTGCAAACAATACACTAAATGATACAGATAATTTTTTAGGTTGAGACACTTCCTCTCCTGTTATTTTTATATCCGTTCCAAGACTTTGCAGTGCTTGAAATAGATGGGGTAAGCCTTCATATTTCATTCTGTGTTCATTTGAAATAAGGTTCAGTACAGTGTCATTTCACTTCTACCTTCATTTTTCAGATAGGTTTCTGGATGATTCTGCCAGTTCAAACATTGGAATACAGGGGAACGAAGGACTTTTAACTAATGTTAGTCTTCAAAGGAAATACGCAACAATACTAAGAAAATTTTCATGGCAAAGAAATCAAGGGTGTGCTCTGTAATTTTAAAGACCAACCCACAATCTTTTTTATCCATACCATTTTAGTATAGATACAGCTGATTTACTACTCATATGCCTGACAAACCTTATTAAATTGACTTCAGCTTTAGAGTGGAATAGGACCACGTGATGGATCCATCTCTTCCTGCCACAATGGTATGGAAATAAACTTTTCTCTATTATGTTTTTCATTTCAGTGAACTTATTCCTTTGGGTTATTTCTGGCAGCAGCTGGGTGACTGTCTGTGCTCAAGAGCTAAGAAGGGTTAGTCCAGGTTAATACTTGGATGGGCCATTGTATGGCTTTAGATAGGCGAGAAACTTGAAATAACATTTTTAGAGGTGCAGAAAACCCATTTCCCTTCTGGAGTCAGAAACAAAATGTCATATTATATATGAATCTTTTGTTCATTATTCCTTATGTGTTGAAAAGTTATATTTCTAAATTAAACACGCAGAATGTCAACTGCTCCATAAAAAAAGGTTTTCTCTATCTTTTCAACTATAATCTCTCTCTGTTGAAGGTGCAGTAGGACAAATATGTCTTGCATCGGTATCAGGGGTGGGATTGAAAATTTTTAGCAACTGGTTCTCTGACCAATTGCTGGATGGGAATGGCCATGGGGGGTATGGCCTCCTCAGCCTCCTCACAAAGGGGGGGCACTTTTGCCCTACCCAGGCACTGGAAGTTTTTCCTGTGCCTATTTTTGAACTTCCAGAACTTCCAGTAGACCCGTTTTTCGCCCTCCCAGAGCCCTGTACTTACCTGGCATGATGAATGGGACTTGTGGAGACTCCTGGGAGGGGCAGAAAAGGGTGGGCGGGGCCAGCCAGTAGTCCTTGAAACAACCAATTTGGTGAACCAGATGCAAAATTAGCACCCAGTTCGCCCAAAACGGTGCGAACCAGCTGAGTTCCTGGTTCCCTGGTTCCCATCCCTAATCGGTATAGAACCTGATTGCATTCAAATGATTTTTTGCCCAAGGCCAGTAGAGAAGATATTGGAAGTGGTTCACATTTAATTCTCTGCTATATCTTAGCCAAAATGGTAGTAACCAAATGCAAAAGTGATGACAGAACAAATATACCAGGAAAGTTTCCTGAAACAAGATGAGGAAGTCACATTGAACTGCTACTGGTTTTCTATTCAGTGGTCTGATTTGCACTTCCTTCTTGTCCAACAGATGAGCCATCTACCCTTTTGGAACAATGGGAATGGAGGACATTGTCCTCAGCCTAATCCTAGGCTGCTGAGAAGGTGGCCTCCACCCAGGGCTTCTTACTCTTTAGCAAAAATAGCATTTCACCCAGTCCCCTATTTTCCAGTGCATATAGAGTGGTCCAGTCTGATTGCTGTGTTTTGCACAAAAGTTTCTGATTGTTTTATTTGATTGGTATGTGTTTTGGTGGGCACCTCCCCTGTCTTGTCTGTCATCAATGGCCATTTGGTACATATATATTTTATGGGGTTCTGTGTTGAAATGATGAGATGTTGGCCATTAATATGTTGTAATATTGTAATTTCTTTTACCAGGTTCGGCAGAGGAAAGACAAAACACTGATTTTTTTAGTTGAGCAAAATTGATGAAACATCTGTCACGTTTCCCTTTCTAACCAAAGTGAATCTGTCCCCCTCCCCAGCGCTCTGCCCATCATTGCTCAAAAGACTCGCCCAAGGAAGGAAAAATAATTGGTATTTACTTTCTTGAGTGGGCCAGAAAAAGAAGCAGGAGAAACCACTCCTTGGGGGAGCATGTTATCATTGTCCAGATGAAACACTCATCTGGCCAAAGCATAGAAATCTGGCAAGAATTCTTATGCCAGTTTATGCACAGGAAACAAGTAATGGAAGGTTGCAATCCCCCAAAACCTCATTACATTAGCACAGCTACAATACAGTATATATATATATACATGTTTATGAAACAAAGTTATAGTAAGAAACATCAGCACTTTGAAATTTCCAAGTATATCTAATGCCAATGTGCCAATCTGAACTTCAAAAATACATGTTAACAAGATCGGGGAAATAAAAATACCCAAACAACAGAATGTATTTATTAACTGGAACCTTTTGAAACAAATAAAGTAGTCTTGGGCCCTTACACAGTGCAACTCAGTTATTTTCCCCCCTATGTTTTTATTTATATCAATGAGATGTGGATGAAGCATTAAGCTAGATACCAGCCCTGCCCTAGGCACAAAACCAGCTGGATGACCTTGGGCCAGTCATTCTTTCTCAGCCCTCGGAAGCAGGCAAGGGCAAGCCGCTATGGAAATTTTGCCAAGAAAACTGCAGGGAATCAGGTCATTATCTCTATGTCAGTGAAGGCTTCACCACATTTTTAAGGTATAATCATTTGCCAATGTTTGAATTTCTTTATAATATTATTTGATATTGTCTATAAAATATGCAGGCCAAGTATCAGTAGGAGCAGATACCTTACATAGTCTTGACACTTTCAACCCTAATCCTAGATCTCATTCTAGATCTCCAGGGAGGAAACACTGCATTTTGAAATATTTTTAGCTTGTGAGGTTTTCAAAAGCAGTGTCTGGTTCAGCAGTTGAAAGCTACAGCTTCCAGCTGGGCTAAAATTTCACTTAGGTGTTTTCTCATACACTGAGAAAAGAACCATTTTGTCTTTGAAAGAAGGCTACTAAGAAAAGTCGTTAAAAGAAGAGAAGAGTCTTCAGACCCTCCTTTACTTCCAACGATGCTCAGAAAGGAGCATGAAGTGCCAGCATGCCCCAGTCAGGCTGCCATTCCACTTTCATGAGTCTCAAAAAGCAAACACAATAGAACAGACCCTCCACAAAGCATGAAATGGATCTCCTCAGTCTCCTGTGAAATGTGCTGGGTGCTCAAGAAAGTATATTGCAATTTCATTGTATTCCTTTCTCTCTCATGAGGAGGAAACACAAGTATGTGAAACCATTTGTGCACTCCAGTACATTGAGAAAAGGGAAGTGGTTTCCATCATCACTCCATTTTCCTTCCTTCCTTTCCCCATCTCCTTTCCTCTTTTTTTCTTTCTTTCTTTCTTTCTTTCTTTCTTTCTTTCTTTCTTTCTTTCTTTCTTTC